CTCCACGCCGGCGTCGCCGATGCACCGCCGACGTGGCCGATGCATCGCCGATGCATCGCCGATGCATCGCCGAATGCATCGGCGATGCGGCGAATCCTCCGACCCCAGCAAGTCGGGCCCCATCTAGAAGGCCCCCAAGGACCATGCCCCCTCCGTCCCTGAGGAGCGCGACTGAAGAACACGAAGAAGCAGAGGAGTGAGGAGGAGAAGGAGGAGAAGGAGGAGGGGGAGGGATAGATACCGATAACCGCGAGGGAGGCGGCAGTGTCTGTGGTTGTGGCCGTACCGGCAAAGGCAGTGGCAATCGTAACAGAGGTGGTGGTGGAGGACCAGAGTAGACCCAAGATGCACAGTGGAAAGCCATGCCAAGAAACACCTTGCTGTGCTCCAGGGTTCTCTGGGTTTCTTGTGTTTCGATTGTTTTGCTACGGAAAGCGTGACGCTCCCACACCAAAAACCAATGGATGTCCTCGGGCTCTCCAGGGGTGGGTTTGTCGTGGAAGGTTTCTTGTGGTCGAGCTCCTACTGCATCAATGATGCTGCAATGCGCCCACTCGTCTCGAGTCCCCTCCTCAACAGCCCCTGCGGTAACAGGTGTCTGCCACTGCGCGAGGGCCCCCCCTTGCAAGACCAGCGCCCCTTGGGTCCGCAGTTCGGGCCGACGCTCCGCTTGAGAGAAACCGCCCTCCCTCCCTTCATCGAGGATACAACAACCCCTAGCCCTAAGAACAGTCGGGGGGGACAGACCTCTCACCCTGACACGTCGATTAGTGAATTGTCAGTTTTCGGTTCTCCAGAGGGCGCCGCGGCCGCCATTCTCCAGGCTTGCGCCCGCCAGGTTTGGGCCCGAGGTCGTTTTCACTAAACCACGTTTTAGTAAAGGGAGGTCTGTCCATCCCCGAAAAGATCGAGACGTCAGATTTCTTGGCATATCCGTATCCGCGGCCCCACGGGCGGGGCCCCTGGGCCGCGACCCCGCGGAGCCGGGGCGTCTTCTTCGCGGATGCCCCGTGCGGAACGCATCCGCGAGACCGCGAGGTCTGTCCATCCCCGAAACAGAGTGAGGACGTGGCCTCACTGAGGGCCCCTTCCCTGCGCTGGGGAGAAGCATTAGGGGGCGGTTTGGATCGGTGCGTCTGCAGAGAAGGTCCGCTATCCCGCCCGAATGGCAAGTCAGGCCTGTCCCTCTACAGGAGGAATATTCAAGCATAGTCGAAAAATAGTCTGGGGACCATTTATGGATTAGTACTCTTAAGTTTTCGCCCAAAATCCGCCTGTAGCCGGACACGCCAAACCTAATACCTAATGTTGCCGGACATCTTGAATTTGATCCCCTCCCCAAGTGCTAGGGTTTTTTTGTGGATCATCCTTCCAGCTGTGATCGAAGATGAGACGGCATAAACATAAACTTTCGCAGGCCCGCGCGGATTTCTCGGATCTGCCCTGGGACCCCCCTGGCGGCGCCGGAGGCGCCGCCCCTGACGCGCTCCGCGCGCCAGTGGCGGCGGTGGCGCCGAGGGCCTCCAAGGAGACCGAAGGAGGGGCAGACTTGTGGAGAGAGAACCTCCAGGGCGAAGGAGACCGCGGAGGCGAAGGAGACCGAAGGAGACCGACGGAGACCTCCAAGGCGCCGAAGGAGACCGCGGAGGCGAAGGGCAGCGGTACCGGTACCTTCTCCCTCCCGTGAGACGGGTGCGCGCGCGCACGGGACCTGCCTTGCCGCGTCGCGTGCCGCGCTGGCCTCTTCCCTCGGGAGGACAGGGCGAGGACGGTCCCGTGGCGGGTTGCCTACGCCTCGAGTCGTGGTGGACGACAGTCAGGAGTCAAGCGTGTGCGGTGCCTACCAAAATAGCACCCCAACAGGTTTGGAGAGGAAGCGCCCTCCACCAGTGCGGCGAGGACGAGTTGGCCTGAGCAGTGCTATGTCTGAGTACGTCTCGGGCGATGGCCCCATTTCGAAAGCGTACCCGCTTCCACCTGTGACACTGCTGCATCATTTGGCGGGTTCCAGAAACCCCGAACCCAGAACTGTTGTCATCTCTTGGGAGGTCGACTTGTACTTCCGCCGGCTTCCGCCGGCCTTCCGCCGCCGGAGGCGGCCTCGTTTCGCTTCGGCCGCCTTCCGCCGACCTTCCGCCGCCTTCCGCCGAGGACGGGATGGCAACTCCTTCGACCCTCGAAGGCAAGGCCCCTTTTGCAGCGCCTCATTTTCAGAAGAGCGTGCGAGGCGTCAAGACGAGAGCCACAGTTTGAGGAGGGCACGGCAATCCATCGGTGCAGTTCGTGAAACTATAGGCTTCGGAAGCGTACATCGCGAGGACGTCTCGGGCGGAATTCCCAGGCAGCCTGCGGACACGTCTGGTGGTGCAGCGGGAGCAGCTCTTTAGGAGGAGAAGAGAAAGAGGGAGGGGTGTGATGATGGTGATGCTGCTGATGCTGGTGCTGCTAATGTTGCTGTTGCTCATTCCCCCATCCGAGCTTGCCTCTGCAGGGGTCCTAGCGGATTCATATGGTTAGGTGAGGTCTGTCACCGATTTCCGCGGCCCGCCCGAGTGCCCAGGTGACCGGGTGCCCGGGTGCCTTATATAGCCCTATAGCCAAGTAGCCCTATATCCCTATAGCCTCATAGCCCTATAGCCCTAGAACCTTAGAGCCCTGTAGCTATATAGCCCTATAGCCCTGTAGCCCTATAGCCCTATAGCCCTAGAGCTCTATAACCTTATAGCACTATAGCCCTATAGCCCTATAGCCCAATAGTCCAATAGCCCTATAGCCTTGTAGCCCTATATCCATATTCGCCCCATAGCTCTATAGCCTCATAGCCCTATATCCCTAAAGCCCTAGATCCCCAGAACCCTAGGGCCCTATAGCTCTATATGCCTACAGCCACATAGCCCCATAGTGTCATAGTCCTATATCCCCATAGCCCTGTAGCCCTATGGTCTTATAGCCCTATAGCCCCATAGGCCAATGGCCTCATATCACAATGGCCCTATAGCCTTATAGCCCCAGAGCCCCATAGCCCCATAGCCCAATAGCCCTACAGCCCTGCAGCCCTATAGCCCAATGGCCCTATAGCCCTATAGCCCCATAGATCTATAGCCATATGGCCCTATAGCCCTATAGCTCCATAGCCCTATAGCCCCATCGCCCTATATCCCAATAGCCCTATAGCCCTAAAAAGAGCTTCATATGGGGGGCTTTCTCCGGTATCGTGATGTTCTGATGTTGATGGTGTTGAACATGGTCATGATGCGGATGTTATTCCCCAATCAGAGCTTGCCTCTTTAGGGGTCCTAGCGGATTCATATGGTTAGGTGAGGTTTGTCACCGATTTCGGCGGCCTCCCGGGCGCCCAGGTGCCCTGGCGCCCAGGTGCCCAGGTGCCCAGGTGCCTTATATCCCTATGGCCCTATAGCCCTATAGCCCCATAGCCCTACAGCCCTATAGCCCCATGGCCCCATAGCCCTATAGCCCTATAACCCTTTAGCCTTGTAGCCTTAAAGCCGTATAGCCCTATAGCCCTGTAGCCCTATAGCCCTACAGCCCTATAGCCCCATAACCCTATAGCCCTGTAGCCCTGTAGCTCAACGGCCCACTAGCCCTTAAGCCCTAGAGCTCTATAGCCGTATATCCCTATAGCCTTATAGACTTATAGCTCTAGAGCCCTAGAGCCCTATAGCCCTATAGCCCCATAGCTTTATATGCCTATAGCCCCATCGCCCTATAGCCCCATAGCCCTGTATCCCTATAGCCATATAGCCCTATGGCTCTATAGCCATATGTTTTCATAGCCCTCTAGGCTCAGAACCCTATAGCCCCATAGCTCGATATCCACATAGCCCCAGAGCCCCATAGCCCCAGAGCCCTGTAGCCCTACAGCCCTACAGCCCTATAGCCCAATAGCTATAGCCCTATAGCCCTATTGCCCTATAGCCCTATAGCCATATCTGTTCATAGCCCTATAGCCCCATAGTCCCATCGCCCTATCGCCCAACAGCCCCATAGCCCTATAGCCTTACAGAGACTTTGATTGAGGCTGTTCTCCGGTATCATGACTCTACTGATGCTGAACATGGTCATGACGCTCATCACGGCCATGGTCATGATGATGCTGTGTTGATAATGCTGTTGATGATGACGACGCTGATTCTGATGATGCTGATTATGATGCCGATGTTGATGGTTACGATGCGGAGGATGATGGTGATGGTAATGGAGAAGGTGATGATTAATGTTATCATGCTGCTGCTGATGGTGATGGTGATGGGGGCGGGGATGGGGATCCTGATGATGACGATGCTGCTCGTGATGTTTATGATAATGATGATGACGACTACGACGACGATCATGATGATGATGATGATGATGATGATGATGATGATGATTATGATTATGATGATAACGATGCTGCTGATGATGATGCTGATGCTGATGATGGTGAGACTTATGCTGATGATGATGATGATGCTGCTGATGACGGTGAGTACGAGTATGATAAAGATGATTAGGCTGCTGACGATGATGATGATGCTGCTGCTGATGATGATAATAATGATGATGATGCTGATGATGATGATGCTGATGCTGATGATGCTGATGATGCTGCTGCTGAAAATGATGATGATGATGATGCTGATGCTGCTGCTGATGATGATGATGAAGAAGAAGAAGATTATGATGCTGTTGATGATGACGACGACGACGACGACGACGACGACGACGACGACCGTCGCCCGCTGCCGCGGGGCGCCGCAGGCGCCGCCCGCGCGGACCGAGGAGCCGAAGGCTCCCCAGGCGCGCGGAGGGGACGGGGGGGTCGAGCGTTGAGCGTTGCCGTCGGCGGCGAGCGAGGGGGGGAAATGAGAAGGAGAAGGCTTTCTCAGAAGAGGAGGAGGAAGTGGAGGAGGCGGAGGGTTGAGTGTTGGATGATGACGACGTCGACGACGACGACAACGACAAAGACGATAACCGTCGCCCGTCGCCGCGGGGCGCCGCAGGCGCCGCCCGCGCGGACCAAGGAGCCGAAGGCTCCCCAGGCGCGCGGGGTGGCGGGGGGGGGATCGAGCGTCGAGCGTTGCTGTCGGTGGCAAGCGAGGGGGGGAAGGCCTTCTCAGAAGGCGACGTGATTTCTCAGAAGCCCTCGCGCCTTCTGGGAAGGCTAAGAAAACTTCTCAAAAGGCCGGGGGACTTCCAAGCCTTCTGAGAAGACCCGCCCCTTCTCGTTTCCCCACCGGGCGCGCCGCCTATACTTGATTCGGCGGCGCGCCCGAGGACCGTTGTCGTGAAAAGCGCGACGCCCGGATCTCAGGGGAGGTGGTCCTTGGGAGAGGAAGTCTATGCCTCTTGGGTGGGGTCGGAGTGGCTGGGGTCGGAGGAGCACGCCGCATCGCCGATGCATCGGTGATGCGGCTTGATGCGGAGCCCGATGTCATCCGCACCAGCGTCGCTGCTGCGCCGCCGACGTCGACGATGCCTCGAAGGTGCATCGCCGATGCATCGCCGATGCGCCGCCGATGCGCCGGCGATGCGGCGCGGCCCTGCGATCCCAGCTGCTCCGCACCCGAGCTTCCCTCGGAGGCCCGTCTGCCCCATGCCGAGCAGCGGGGAGCAGGGACCGCACCACCACCACCACCACCGCCGCCCGCCGCCGCCTGGGGGGGGGGGCGGGAACTGGACCCGAGGCCCTCGGCTGAACCCGCAGTGGGGCCACGCAGCGTGACATTGGCCCGAACCCTTCGGCCTGTTTTCGGGACCCCATTCCTTCGGATCCCGTGCGCGCTGCAGGGGATCCGATGCGGCTCCCAGACGGCCTCGCAGGGGCCTCCCGAGCAACGCCCAGGAGCCTCGAAGCAGCCCCGAAGGGCCCCCTGGGTAACGCCGCAGGGGCCCCTGCGGGGCCCCCGCAGGGGCCCGGCGAGGCTGCGGGGGTGTGCGGGCCGTGGGTGTGCACGCTGTCCTGCGGGAGCGCCCGAGAGGCGAGGGGTCCGCCTCGGCGGCGCGCCCATGGAGGGGAAGCGCGCAGGGGCGAGCCTTCTCAGAATCGGGGGCGGAAAAGAGGGGGGTGATGACTACTGCCCTCGTCAAACTTACCCTCAACAGTTGCTGGCACGTCATTTCGATTTCGGCGCGCCCCTCAACGTCGACACGCCGCCCTTTCAAATGTCGGGGCGAGGGCAAAGATAGTCTGACCGAAGTTGACTCGAGAGTTTGACGTCGACCGACATTGGAGGGGCGGCGCATGCAAGTACCCCGCACTCATCGATACTCGGCCCCAGATCTTCCGACAAGCAGTTCAACCACGTCAGACATTTTTACCTAACAGCTTTTGCTGATAGGTTTCTAGTGGTGTCAAAAGAGAGCATCTGGACTCCACAGGGGGGTCTGGGCGGGTGCCGGGGAGGAGGGCTGGGAACAGAGCCGGGCTCGTTTTAAGCCAACAGTCACACACTTCGTGCTCTTCGACCTCCCAGAACTCCACTCCCGGGCCACATTTTGAATAACCGGAGCCAACAGTCACCCACTTCGTGCTCTTCGACTTCCAGAACTCCATTCCCGGGCCACATTTTGGATGCCCGGAGCCAACTGTAGGCCACTTCGTGCCCTTCGATTTCCAGAACTCCATTCCCGGGCCACATTTTGGATGCCCGGAGCCAACTGTAGGCCACTTCGTGCTCTTCGAGTTCCCAGAACTCCATTCCCGGGCCACATTTCGAATGCCCAGAGCCAACTGTAGGCCACTTCGTGGTCTTCGAGTACCCAGGACTCCATTCCTGGGCATGATTTTGAATGCCCAGAGCCAACTGTAGGCCACTTCGTGTTCTTCGAGTTCCCAGAATTCCATTCCCGGGCCACATTTTGAATGCTGAGACAGGCTGAGGCTGAGGCTGAAGGCTGAGGCTGCAGGCTGAGGCTGAGGCTGAGGCTGAGGCTGAGGCAGGCTGAGGCAGGCTGAAGGCTGAGGCTGAAGCAGGCTGAGGCTGAGGCAGAGGCAGGCTGAGGCTGAGGCAGGCTGATGCTGAGGCAGGCTGAGGCTGAGGCTGAGGCTGATGCAGGCTGAGGCTGAGGCAGGCTGAGGCTGAGGCCAAGGCTGAAGGCAGACTGAGGCTGAGGCTGCAGGCTGAGGCTGAGGCTGAGGCAGGCTGAGGCTGAGGAGGCTGAGGCTGAGGCTGAGGCTGAGGCTGAGGCTGAGGCTGCAGGCTGAGGCTGCAGGCTGAGGCTGAGGCTGAGGCTGAGGCAGGCTGAGGCTGAGGCTGAGGCTGAGGCTGAGGCTGAGGCTGAGGCTGAGGCTGAGGCTGAGGCTGAGGCTGCTGAGGCTGAGGCTGCAGGCTGAGGCTGAGGCAGGCTGAGGCTGAGGCCGAGGCTGAAGGCAGACTGAGGCTGAGGCTGAAGCAGGCTGAGGCTGAGGCTGAGGCAGGCTGAGGCTGAGGCTGAGGCAGGCTGATGCTGAGGCAGGCTGAGGCTGAGGCTGAGGCTGATGCAGGCTGAGGCTGAGGCAGGCTGAGGCTGAGGCCGAGGCTGAAGGCAGACTGAGGCTGAGGCTGAAGCAGGCAGGCTGAGGCTGAGGCTGAGGCAGGCTGAGGCTGAGGCTGAGGCAGGCTGAGGCTGAGGCTGTGACTGCGACTGCCGTTGCCACTGCGACTGTCATCGCGAATGCGACTACGACTGCGAGAACAGCAGAATTCTACAACTGAATTCTCATCCGAATCTTAAGGGGAATGCTTCCAGATATGCTCCTACACATCGCTGTTAGGTTGCTTTGCCGGGATAATTGAGGTTAATTTTGACGAGGGTTGTAGGGGGGGTGGATATCATGGCGGGGGCCATGATATTTCCCCAGATTTCATGGTGCCCCTTCTTATTTCATTACGTCCCTGGCCCCCCTGCTGGGCCGCGCACATGCCGCCGGTCATGATTTGCACCCCCCCCTCTTGGACACCCCCCTCTTGGCCGCTCCCGACAGAAGGGTCGGCAGGCCTCGGGCCCTCCGGGAAGTGTCCAGGCCCTGCCCCCGGAGGCGCGGAGGACTTCGCAGGAGAGGCGCGAGGGGGCTCGTGGGAGTTCTCGCCGCCCTCTGAGGCCGCCTGCTCCGTGCTAGGCCTCCCGGGTGGGGTCCGAGCAGAAGATGGGGTCGGAGGAGGGGGCCGCGTCGCCGATGCATCGACGATGTGGCTCGGTATGGAGCCTGCGTTTCCCCACGCCGACGTCGCCGGTGCATCGCCGACGTCGCCGATGCATCGCCGATACATCGGCGATGCATCGGCGACGCGGCGCGATCCTTCGACCGCATCTACTCGGAGCCCATCTAAAAGGCCTCTATGCGTCTCACTTCCCCCCCCCACTCGCTCGCTGCCGATTGAGGGGGTGGGCAAGAAACTTACAGTCGGGCCTGTCCCTGTACAGGGGGGACAATCAATAGTGAAAGAACTAGTTTGGGGAGGATTCTTCGAGACTATGTGGGGGATTTTTCGCGCAAAATCCGCCTGTAGGAGGACATGCCCGACCCAGCAATAAACGGGGGGGGGCGCGAAAGGCCACCTTCCGTGCACCTTCGGGGCCAAAGGGGGGCCCTTCAGGTCCTCTTTAGGGCGTCTTTCCTTGCAGCCCTCGCCCCCTCCCCGCCCCCCTTTTGTGGATCGGGGAGCGTAGTATAGCATCAGCAGCAGCATCACCATACATCTGCACGGCTTGAAATCAAAAATGCCCCCGAGCAAAACAGTCACCTGGGCCTGGGGTGACTGCTTTTGGGCGCCCCGTCTCCGTTCTTGTGTTCCTGATGTCTTGGAGGGAGGGCCTAGGCAAGAGCTTAGCATGTCCTCGCACAGCAGCAGGCTTCTCCGCTCCCAGTGTTTTTGCCCCGAGCGCGTGCCTGGGAAGCCTTCTCCGGAGGTCGCTGGGTCACGACAGTCGCCCGTGACAAGTGTTCCCCGGATGATTGTGAAGGCCTCACGGCCACTGCCGCCGACCCGGAAGGACGACGACGACGACGCCCACGACGACGACCACGACGACACCGACAACGACGAGCTGATGACCTTGCCACAGGCTCGGGACATGGGGCGGGCGGTAGAAGGAGGAGGAGGAGGAGGAGGACCAGTGGAAACCCAAGAGTCATCAACGATAATGGAATTGACCTTCCCTCCAAGCTCCCTCTTCGTAGGCCCCTGCAACGGTTCATTTCTATTGAGGGAACTGCCTCGTTGTAAAACAACAGTTTGAAGATCCTGAAGCGTGCCAAAACATACTTCTCGGGACTTGAACGCCACGTATCAACCTGAGTGCTTTGTCTTGACGATCCAGAATCGTGCCAGAACGCCGTTTTGGGGACGTCACCACAGCGAATCAACATAACTGGTGCGCCCGCATAATCCAGAGTCTTTCCAAAACGCAATTTCTGGTACGTCGATCATCCGTGAAACTCTTGCAATGCTTGAAGACGAATGTGCGTGGCGCTAAGGCCAGCACCACAGTTTGAAAACGCCCCGCCCTGAATCCGTGAAACACTTGCAATTCTGATAAAAGAAATGAATGTGCGCGGCGCGAAGGCGAGAGCCACATGTTAAAAACGGCCCGTCCTCAATCCGTGAAGCTTTTGCAGATGTTTAAAACTGAATGTGCGCGGCGCTAAGGCGAGAGCCACATGTTACAAACGACCCGCCCTCAATCCGGGAAGCCCTTGCAAATTATTAAAACGAAGGTCCGCGGCGCTAAGGCGAGAGCCACATGTGGAAACCCATCCGCCCTCCATCCGTGAAGCTCTTGCAATTTTTCAAGCGAATGTGCGCGGCGCGAAGGCGAGAGCCACATGTTGAAAACCACCCGCCCTCCATTTGTGAAGCTGCTACCACTGTCTAAGCTACAGGGTCATACATGGTGAGGAAGTTTCCGTCGAAACGCCCAGCCCGCCCGAAAAACTGGCTTCGGGGTGCGACAGGGAGAAGTTATCTAAAAGGAGAAGGCATGGAGGAGAAGGAGGAGGCGGAGGAGGAGGAGGAGGAGGAGGAGGGGGAGGGGGATGGAGGAGGAGGAGGAGGAGGAGGAGGAGGAGGAGGAGGCAGAAGAGTGTTGCCCGTGCTATGCTGCGCGAGGCGCCCCCGTAACATCGGGTTCCAGGGGCGTGCCGTGCTATGCGGCACGCGAGGCGCAGCAGGCATAGCATGGCACCAGATGCTAGTCTGATTCGGGTATCTGCGGGCGCGGGGAGAGTGGCAACACCACCCCTTTCGCCACTCTGAATGATGTTACTGTGCTGGCACTTCGGCTCACTGTGGGGTGGTCCTAGGAAAGCCATCCTTTGCCCCTACCGGTGAAGAAGAGGAGTCAGCCTCAGCGGCAACGCATGCTGCTTCTCCAATGTTTCACTACTTGCAACACCCTGCTTATGCTGAACTCTTGGATTCTGGTAGACGGCAGCGTTCGGCATTACTTGTCCATACTACCTTTCAAAGCTCACCGAGTGTTGCGTCTCATAGCTCAGGTGCCCCTCTCGACGAAATTGTCCAGGATGCAGAACGGCAGTAGCGAAGCAGGGGCAGGATGAGGATTTCTTCATTCAAAGGGTGATAAGCACAAGCGCTGTATTGGCGCCACAATGGTACACACACATGCGTCAGTGCAGGGATTGCTACGACGTGATCGTCGGCCCAGCGATCAGGTGCAGTGTGAGCGATGGGCGACGTCCATGCGCATTGCTTGCAGATGATTGGGATGTCCCCGGTTTGTTTTTATTTTTCCCAACCATCCTGTGGTGTTGGGCCCTCGTTTTGAAGAGACGGTGCCCCGCGTTCCCGCCTCCTTCCTCCCTCCCTCCTCCCCCCTCCTCCCCCTCCCACACCCATTCTGGCACACCCCTCACACGTTTCGTGGCCCCATAAGGAGCTCCACCGAAGGCCCCTGTGGCTGCGTTCGCATGCGCCCACCGCACCCATTTCGGCGCACCCCTCACACATTTCGTGGCCCCACAGGGAGCTCCACCGAAGGCCCCAGTGGCTGCGTTCACATGCGCCCACCGCACCGATTTCGGCACAACCCTCACACGCTTCGTGGCCCCATAGGGAGCCTCACCGAAGGCCCCAGTGGCTGCGCTCGCATGCGCCCACCGCACCCAGTTCGGCACACCCCTCACACGTTTCGTGGCCCCACAGGGAGCTCCACCGAAGGCCCCAGTGGCTGCGTTCACATGCGCCCACCGCACCCATTTCGGCACACCCCTCACACGCTTCGTGGCCCCATAGGGAGCCTCACCCAAGGCCCCCGTGGCTGCGTTCGCATGCGCCCACCGCACCCAGTTCGGCACACCCCTCACACGTTTCGTGGCCCCATAGGGAGCTCCACCGAAGGCCCCAGTGGCTGCGTTCGCATGCGCCCACCGCACCCATTTCGGCGCACCCCTCACACGTTTCGTGGCCCCACAGGGAGCTCCACCGAAGGCCCCAGTGGCTGCGTTCACATGCGCCCACCGCACCGATTTCGGCACACCCCTCACACGTTTCGTGGCCCCATAGGGAGCCTCACCGAAGGCCCCCGTGGCTGCGTTCGCATGCGCCCACCGCACCCAGTTCGGCACACCCCTCACACGTTTCGTGGCCCCACAGGGAGCTCCACCGAAGGCCCCAGTGGCTGCGTTCACATGCGCCCACCGCACCCATTTCGGCACACCCCTCACACGTTTCGTGGCCCCATAGGGAGCCTCACCCAAGGCCCCCGTGGCTGCGTTCGCATGCGCCCACCGCACCCAGTTCGGCACACCCCTCACACGTTTCGTGGCCCCACAGGGAGCTCCACCGAAGGCCCCAGTGGCTGCGCTCGCATGCGGTTCCACCCCCCATTTCGGCACACCCCTCACACGTTTCGTGGCTCCATAGGGAGCTCCACCGAAGGCCCCAGTGGCTGCGCTCGCATGCGGTTCCACCCCCATTCTGGCACACCCCTCACACGTTTCGTGGCCCCATAGGGAGCTCCACCGAAGGCCCCAGTGGCTGCGCTCGCATGCGGTTCCACCCCCAATTCTGGCACACCCCTCACACGTTTCGTGGCCCCATAGGGAGCTCCACCGAAGGCCCCAGTGGCTGCGCTCGCATGCGGTTCCACCTCCAATTTCGGCACACCCCTCACACGTTTCGTGGCCCATAGGCGGCGCCGCTCCATTTCGGCACACCCCTCACACGTTTCGTGGCCCCATAGGGAGCTCCACCTAAGGCCCCCGTGGCGCAGTGCGCATGGCGCCGCCGCCCCATTTTGGCACACCCCTCACACGTTCCGTGGCCCCACAGGGAGCCCCATCTCAGGTCCAAGTGGCGCAACTCGCATGGCGCCGCCGCCCCATTTTGGCACACCCCTCACACGTTTCGTGGTCCGATAGGGAGGGAGGAGGAGGTGGAGGAGGAGGAGGAGGAGGAGGAGGAGGAGGAGGAGGAGGAGGAGGAGAAGGAACCCCCACGATATCCACAATTGCGGTATTCACAACTACGTATGGTTGGGTCTTTCGTCTGGCTAATTTGTCTGGTAGGGACATGCTGGCCGCGCATCGCAGTTCGGCATGGACTGGCCACGTCGCGGCCCACATGGGCAGGCACGCGGCCTGCGGCGGGCAGCTGGTGGGCCAGGTGATTGGCGCGACGGTCAGACGGAGAAACGGGAGCTGCGGCTTGTCCAAGGAGCCGCGGCAAGCGCCAGGCGAACCTGGACAGGGCAAGCACGGTGCCACTGCCGCTGCGGCCGCGTTCCGTGCTGCCGAAGCCGATAGAGCACGGCAGCCAAGACGGCCAGCAGTTGGACGAGCTCAGGCCGGCCAGGCGGCATATCGAGATCCTCACGAGGAGGACCGACGGGCTCGAGAGGCAGTTTGGGGGGCCTCGCCACTCCAGGAGCGGCGAGCACCAACGCGGGCGCGGCGAGCGGCGGACCATCCAGCTCCCCGACGGATCGGGCTGAGCGGGGCCCCGCTGGCGAGGCAGAGGGCGAGGAGGCTGGAGGACAGGACGGCCCACGCCCAGTGCAGGAGAGGTTGGCGCAGGGCGGAGAGGTCCACACGCACGTCTCGGAGCCAGGAGCGCCGCCCGAGCGGCCCCAGAAGCAACCGCAGCAGCAGCGGCGGCAGCAGCCGCGGAGCCTCCAGGATTGGGCGCTCCGCGGTATGGCTGCAGAGCTGGCAGTGGGCGCGCGGGGCCGGTGCCCCAGACGTGGCAGCCAGGACCGCCCGGAGGAGGAGGCCCGCCTGGAGGAGGAGGCCCAGGTCCAGGAAGAGCAGGAGGAGCATGACCGGGCGATCCAGGAGGAGGACGATCTAGCAACTGTGGTTTCCGCGGTCCCCTGGGGCACCTTGGAGGAGGGCCGCCGCCGCCGCCTCCACCCTTCGGCAGGGCAGGCGCGGAGGGAGGAAAGAGGACCGGTGACTGGGCCGGCACGCTGACGGCGGTGTTATCACCGCTGATGGATGCTGACGCGCCGCCCACTGCGCGGGCCAGGGGCCTCAAGAAGGCATCCACTCTAAAGGAGTGGCTCCAAAGATCGGGCATCATAGTCGGGGGACTTCGTTCAGCGCTGGAGGCTTTCTGGACCTGGGCGCACGAGTGCTGCGCGGTGGCCCGCGACGAATGCTTGTCCGTGGACCTGCCGAAGAGGCCTCTCATCAGGCTTGCCGCCCACATGATGCCAGCGGGATGGGGGGAGGCCGACCTGCGGCCCGCTGGTGCTGGACGTCATGCTTCAGCGCCGCGCGCATTCGTGTCAAAAACTTTGCAGGAGCTGCCTCCATGGAAGGCTGCTGGTTTCCAAAATGTGATCCTCGCCTCAGTGCCGCGCGCGTTCGTTTTCAAAGTTTGCAGCAACTTCGCGGATGGAGGGCGATGGTTTTGAACGCGCGGTTCTCATTTTAGCGCCTCGCGCACCCGCTTTTTAAGGTCGCTGGAGTTTCACGGGTGGAAGGCGGTTGGTTTTCAACATGTGGTTCTCGTTTGAGCGCCGCGCGCGCTCGTTAAAGTTTACAGCAGCTCCACGGTTGGAGGGCGGACCCACCATAGTAGCCCATCGGGGTTTCACTAGGTTGTGTCAAGGGTTCCAGAGGATGCGGGAAGATTCTTAAAGGTCCCCTTCAGGACGACGACGACGACGACGCCGACGCCGACGCCGACGCCGACGCCGACGCTGCCGACGCCGACGCCGCCGCCGACGACGACGACGACGACGACGACGGCGACGACGACGGCGGCGACGACGACGACGTGCTCGTCTGTCCCTGGCCAGGCCGAGCAGCGGTCTGCGACGACGCAGCCCGCGGAGCCGCGCGCCCCGCCCGCGCGCGCGCCAGGGGGGCGTGTGCCTCTACAGGAGGAATATTCCAACATAGCAAAAAGTAGTATGGGAAGATATCAGCGTTATAATTCTAACAATACTACTGATCTTCATAATAATGATAATACGAATAATACTTATCAGCATTAGTAGGGTTATTAGTTTTTTTGGTTTTCTATATATATATATATATATTCCATATTTGTTTCCCAAGCATCCTGTGGTGTTGGGTCCTCGCTTTGAAGAGAGAGCGCCACGCGTTCCTTCCCTCCTCCTCTCCTCACCTCCCCCTCCTCCTCCTCCTCCTCCTCCTTCTCCTCCCATCCCTTGCCTCATCTCACCGCAGGTCCACCATGTCGGCACACCCCTCACGAGGATCGTGGCCCCATAGGGAGTTCCACCGGAGGCCCCAGTGGCACAGGCCGCATGCGCCCGATGCCCGTTTTGGCACACCCCTCACACGGTCCGTGGCCCCATTGGGAGCTCCACTGGAGGCCACAGTGGCACAGGCCGCATGCGCCCGACGCCCCTTTTTGGCACACCCCTCACACGGTTCGTGGCCCCACAGGGAGCTCCACCAGAGGCCCCAGTGGCACAGGCCGCTTGCGCCCGACGCCCCCATTTTGGCACACCCCTCACACGTTTCGTGGCCCCATTGGGAGCTCCACCGACAGCAGTTCCCACAGCGCGGTATTCACATTTGCGCATGTTTGGGTCATTCGCCAGGATATTTTGATTACTTGTCATTTTTCTTTCAAGACCCGCCTGTCGGAGGACATGCCCGACCCGACGACAGGAGCGAACAGCTCTGGAGCAGGCATTGCACGTGGCCGTTCAAGGATCCTCGCCGAAGGCATGGACCGTCCGCGCCCCTGGATACGGCCAGGAGATCCTTTCCTCCCTCCTCCTCCCCCTCCTGCTCCTCCTTCTCCTCCTCCTCCTCCTCTGCTCCTCCTCCTCCTCCTCCTTCTCCTCCTCCTCCTCCTCCTCCTCCTCCTCCTCCTCCTCCCCCGACCGACTGAGATCTTGGCGTGGTAGTTTTTTCAGAGCGGCCGTTTGTGTGTTCAGTCTCGGGCACCAGGGCCCTCGCAGATAGATCCTGCTCGACAAAATTAGGCAGAATTAGTGTTCAGTTTCGCTCAGTTTCGCTCCTCCTCCCCATCCTCCTCCTCCTCCTCCTCCTCCTCCTCCTCCTCCTCCTCCTCCTCTTCCCCATCCTCCTCCTCCTCATCCTCTTCTTCCTCCTCCTCCTCTTTCTCCTTCCTCTGAATTTCGGGCGCCAGGGTCATCGCAGATGGATCCGGCTCGAAAAGTTAGGGGCAGAAAGACGGGGTCTGTGGGGCTCTGGTTGTGACTTTGGCGATGTTGCTTTTTTGGGGGGCAGCGTCAGATCTCGAGGTTAGTCTGAAGTCGGGCCTGTCCCTCTGTAGGAGGAATATTCAAATATAGTCAAACAATAGTCTGGGGACGAATTTTCTAGCGTTTTTGTTTCTTATTCTTTGATGTTTGTTTGACTCTCTTTTATTCTTAGGCTTACGCCACACCGCCGACCCCTTGTTTATGCCAATCTGGGGGTAGTAGAAGCTGCGAAGGGGTGAAAAGGCGAGTGATATTTGTTTGGTGTCTGTTCGCCGCCACCGCCAGAGGGTCTCGGGCAGTTCCGCGGGGAGGTCCGAGCGGTCAGCGACACTGCGAGTTTTGGAGCCACTCGGGGGCCGTTTCGGAGCCTCTGGGGTGCTTCTTGGGGGTTCCTTGGGGCGTCTGGGCGGCCTCGTGAGGGCCTCTGGGGGCCTCTTGGGGCACTCTTGGGGCCCCCCTGGGGCTCCTGGGGGCAGAAAGCTAGAGTTTCAACATGTTTGGTCGCCCTCTTGGGCCCCTCTTGGTGCCGTCTTGGAGCCCTCTTGGGCCGTCTTGGGGACCTCTTGGGCCGTGTTGGGGCCGTCTTGGGCCGTCTGGAGGCCGTTTTGGGGGCCTCTTGGGCCATCTTGGGGCTGTCTTTGGGGCCTCTTTGGCCGTCTTGGAGCGTCGGGAAGCCGGAAAGGCGGAAAAGCAAAACATATCGAAAAACACCATGGAAAATCAACAATTTTAGACTCTTGGGGCCCTCTTGGGAGGCTTGTTTGGGACCTCGGGGGCCGTCTTGGAGACCTCTTGGCCCGTCTTGGGGCCATCTTGGGCGTCTTGGAGGGGTCGTTTGGCGTCTCGGAGCCTTCGTGGGCCGTCTTGGAGGCCTTTTGGGGGCTTCTTGGCCCGTCTTGAGGCCCTCTTGGGCCCGGAAAAACCCTGGAACCGCTCGTCCCGGCCGTGCTGCGCTCGTCCTGGCCCCCTCCCCGCCTCCAAATCGGCCCTCTTGGGCCGTCTTGAGGACCTCTTGGGCCGTCATGGGGCCGTCCTGGGCCGTCTGGAGGCCGTCTTGGGGGCCTCTTGGGCCATCTTGGGGCTATCTTTGGGGCCTCGTCGCGCGTCTTGGAGCGTTGGGAAGCCGGAAAGGCGGAAAAGCAAAAAACGTCGAAGAACACTATGGAAAATCAACAATTTTAGACTCTTGGGGCCTTCTTGGGAGACTTGTATGGGACCTCGGGGGCCGCCTTGGAGACCTCTTGGCCCGCCTTGGGGCCATCTTGGGCGTCTTGGAGGGGTCGTTTGGCGTCTCGGAGCCTTCGTGGGCCGTCTTGGAGGCCTCTTGGAGCCTTCTTGGCCCGTCTTGAGGCCCTCTTGGG